GGGTCATTTTTGACCAAATTTTGGCTGACGTCATTTGTGAACGGTCCCTTAGGTATAATATAATTATGAGTTAACTCAAAATTGTTCGAAACTTACAGAGAGGAAAAACTAGCTGGGGATTGAAATTGTTGCCAAAAGGGGCCTTGGCAGACTGCATTATTAATTAATATAATACCGTAACTATAATAATTATAGATGTAAAAATAAACATAAACAAGACAATCAGATTGCCAACCTGGTTTAGGCCTTTTATACAGGCCTTTTATACAGGCCTTTACGTACATAGGCATAGCGTTAGAAAAATACCATGATTGAGTGAAAGGAAGCGCACAACCCGTTGCAGAACTTTCTGCAGGGATTTAAAAGATTTAAATTTATTAAACATTATAAGTGCTGCACTTAAAAAGAGACAACGCCTTAAATAAGATTTAGTCCTAAAATTTAAGGGGTGAAAAAAAGTCCCATCCCCGGCGGGATTCGAACCCGCGACCTCTGGATTAGAAGTCCAGCGCGCTATCCACTGCGCTACGGGGACTTACTACTTCCGTTGAGGTCAATGTTACTGAATCACACAACTATTTTAGTTTGTTTGGTTTTGAGAGTACAAAGCTTTTATTGGACAGTAGGCAAGGCCAATACCATTTTCTGCGGGACTTTGTTACTTTGTTCACTTCCGCCGTTTCTCAAGGGACGCTACTGAGTGAAGATCATGAGGAAAACACTGGACATGATCATGAACCCAGCTGAAAGTTGCGAATACTTCAGTATTGGCAGTCTTATTAGAATTGAAGACTGTCATAAAGAAAAGTATGAGGGAGCAGTAAAGTCCTTTGATTACGCAACCAAAATTTTGTCCATTGGTATCCTTTTTGGAAAAAAATGTAGAATCTACATCTACTCGGACCGACAACAACTGCAAAGACTGGCAAAGAAACAGAACGCGGTTGTATCTCTGTTGTGACTGACTGTGTGCGTAGTTTAATGTTCTGTACTGCAGGATTGTACACTTGTACTAAACTGTACTGACTGCCACATCGTGGCTGTATATCCAGTTAAGCTCTGTATTGTAGGCTACTAGAATCTAGTCTAGATTTCTAGATCGATTGACATACTGAAGAACAAATGGTAATAATGTTGACAACTCAAACTAGATTTAGATCTACAGTCGAACCTGCCTTAATGGAAACCTGTATTATCACTGTATAAAACTGAAACCTGTCTTAATGGAATCTCCCCGCTCCCCCCTTGATATATTTACTCTTTAATTACCAACGTCACTTAGTGTAGAATTCTGTGCTCTAAACTTAACGCAATGGCCATGCCGCTGGGCAAGGAAGGGGAGTAGGGGTGCAAGTTGGGGGTAGATGTTACCCCATCATGTGAGCCCTGAGCAATGCAGATGGTCAGTGTAGTGTGGGTGTGAAATCTCACGACTACCCGTTAGAGTGCTTGAGTAGCGAGCCACTACGAAAACTTTCCTGGATAGCCAGAAGCCAGAGGTGTGAAATTAGATTGACCACCAATGCCTGCCGCCCTGCTGATCGTAGGACCAGCCGAGAAAAGAGTTCCTCGAATCGTTGTTACAATGATGGCAGTGAGGGGTGACATTGGTGAGTGGGGCTAAGGGTGGAAGCAAAGGAGATGTTCAAACGTTTCTGTTTTTGATAGGTCAAACAGTGGTCCTATGAAAGGCAAGCAGTGGTGGCCATAAATAAGTAAAACTGAGCATGTCATTATCAGGCAGGATAGCAGTTGAGAGGTGTGAAGTTTTAACACTACTTGCCAATTGGACAAGCGATCCTTGATCCCACTGGCTGGGCCCTTGAACCCCCCTAAATTCCCCTGTCAAAGACGGAATTTTTTCCCCGCTCCCTTGCGATTCCGTCTTACGCATGTTCGATTGTACTAGATCTAATACTACTTTGGACCTCTTTTGATCTTTTGTCTTCCTTCATCTGTAGAAAGTTAAAGTGACCAAACCAAAGTCTAAAAACTAGATTCTAGATTTAGCTATTTTAAAGCATCTTTGCATTATGATTTCGATCTAGATTCTATATCTCTAGTTTATAATAGATCTAAGATTTAGGCCGTTTAAGCCTTAGACGTTAGAATACATGTTTCGACGCTGTGGAATCAGGCGCTTGTCAGTTTTTATTTTGGACATGTGGGGGGTTATATTAGTAGATTCTATCATCGAAGTAAGTGACTTCTAGATCTAGATTAGATCTATATCTAGATCTTGAAGAATGTAGAAGAAATCTAGATTCTATTCGGACTCGGAGTCCGATTAGACAAAAATTATAGTCAAACTCTGTGTTGAGTCCAGCATGACGTCCGTTCCGACTTCCGACCCTTGTTCCTAAAAATTTCCAGCATTTCTGAAGAATTGTTTGATTATAGATTAAATAACAATCGAGATGTGAGCTTTAACCGTCATCCTGCGGGAGCCGGGTTTATGTTGCCAGATAAGCCTATTTCGGCACCTCGCCTACGTTCTGGTCCCGAATCAGTGTAGCTCCTGGCTCAGCACAGCGCAGCACGCATCCTCTTACGTGTCATTCGGGTCCCGAGTCGGATCCCCATTCACGCAGGTCAAGTGTGTGTGCGTCAGTCTGCTTGAGTTTGTGTGCGTTTGTGGCCTTCTTCTAGAACCGCCTGCGTTGGTTCGTAATCGAGGCATACGTCTCATTCAAAACATGCCGAGTTGGTAGCTTTAGATGTTCGTCCAATGAAATTATAGAAGAAATTGACCCGCTTAGACATGACGAGCTCGAAAGGATGGTCAGGAAACAAGACTTCCATTTTTCTGTACAAAATATTTCAAATGAGCTTGATTTTGTATGAAGTGATACTACCTGATAAAAAATAAGCTTGTTTGATAGTTTTGAATACCATTGTGCAGGTACAAAGAACAATTTGCGTGTAAAACATTCAGAAATTGACCTAAATGATCCCCTTTCGAACCTCAGGTCATTCATAACAACAGCATCCAGAAATGTTATTCCAGAGATGCCAACCAGTACGATTTTACGTATCTTAGTACGATTTTTTTCCGAAAATACGCGAATACGACTTTTCATGAAAAAATATGCATCGTGGAAAGCGAAAAATACGAGATTCAGCTTGACAAGAGTGAGCAAGCCTAATTATCTCAAGTCCCATCTTTTGTCAAAATAGTATCTGTATTGCTGAACTGAAATATTTGAAAACCAAGTCCGATAAGGTCAGTAAGTTCATTTTTGCCGGTCGTGATCGTGATATTATTATATTCGTTCGGCTTTTCGCGGTCCAGAGAGCAGGGTTGGGTTGATTTAAATCAGGTTGATTTAAATCAGTTGATTTTTTAAATTTAAATCAACTTGATTTTTTAAATAAAAATCAGTGATTTAAATCACTTTTTAAACAAATTATTTTTATTCGGTTTTTACACATTTCAACATTCAGAATTCCTTTCCTTGGTTTCATAAAACAGATATAAGGTTCAGTAGACTAATATAATCATGCTTAAAAGTCTGATTTCCCCCCTTTCACTGTAAAATAATACAGTATTCAATTTACTTTTTTTTCCATAATAATTGAAATCAGAGCTGGGTTGATTTAAATCAGTTAATTTTTTTAAAATTTTAATCAATTTGATTTTAAAAATAAAAATCAGTGATTTAAATCACTTTTCAAAAAAATGTATTCAGTTTTTACATATTTAAACTTTCAGAATTCCTTTCCTTGGTTTTATTTTAAACGGATATAAGGTTTAGTAGACTAATATAATCATGCTTAAAAGTCTGCTTTCCCCCCTGTCACTGTAAAATAATACAGTTCTCAATTTACTTATTTTTCATAATTGAAAACCAGGGTTGGGTTGATTTAAATCGGGTCGATTTAAATCAGTTGATTTTTTAAATTTAAATCAACTTGATTTTAAAAATAAAACTCAGTGATTTAAATCACTTTAAAAAATGTTTTCTGTTTTTACATCTTTAAACATTCAGAATTCCTTTCCTTGGTTTTATAAAACAGATATAAGGTTTAGTAGACTAAAATTGCTTAAAAGTCTGCTTTCACCCCCTGTCACTGTAAGTAGTAAAATAATACAGTATTCAATTTACTTTTTTTTTCATAATTGAAATTAGCATTTTCTTTTTCTTTTTAGACAAACACAAGCGCGTGCTCACACACACACTGTAATAAAAATAAAATGCAAGTTTATCTATGCATAATTACCCCCCCCCCTTCCTTTTAGACTGACATTTTCTTCATTTTTTGTCTGTAGCCATAATTCACTGATATAGCGGATTAAGGCTTTCTAAAATTGCAGTTGCTTAAATTAATCATTAGTTAAAATAAAGACAATGCGTTTTGCACTAAAAGAACATACTTTTAGCCACCAAAAATCCCAAACTGTGTTGACATTTTTTTTAAAATAAAAAAAATCCCATTTAAATAAAAAAAATCTGATTTAAATAAAAAAAATCGATTTTTTTTATTTTTATCAAAAAAATCACCAACCCTGCCGGAGAGTACGTTTCACTTTCACGCGAATAGGCAGCTATGGCGGCAGGTGACACCGAGGCTCGAATGGGAGAATCAAGATCTGCTTTCGTTACCACCGAGTAGTTTGCCATCAGTTGTCTGATAACGCAACATTTGTGACATGCGGGTTGTGCTGTATAAACGCAATGTTGCCGTGCAAATAAAATTTAATCAATGCTCGGACTCGCTTCTGTGCTGTCACTTGTGAAAAGAAAAGAAAATACAGGCGTCGTCCGATTTTTAAATTGTTTGGCTCGCCATCGTGACCGGTCACTGAACCTGCGCGGATTCGCATCATAAATAAATGTGGCATCGTGTGAGCAAAGACCGTCTTTGGTGGGAGTAACACAGCCTTGCGAAGTTTAGGACTACGGAATAGGGGAGGAGATTCTTGATTTTTTTTGGGGGGTTTAAGATACTATGGGGGAGGATGTGAAGGCAATACCAGAGGACAAAAACTTGGAAGCAGTTTTCAGAATTTTGATTAGAGCTTTCTGCAAAGCGTGCGTTGGTGCAGGCCGTGTGCGGAATCGAGACCTTTCATACTTTGCAAGTCTGTGTTATTGAAATAATGTGTTCGCGTTTCATTGGATGGGTGATAGTAAATTATACCTACAGTGTATGTTGTAGCTTTCTGTTCAAGACAGGTAGATTTTCAGTGTCACTGCATCTTGCCCTACCAGTACCACAGTTGTTACAACTCACAGTGCATGGGTCTACTTGAGCCATTCAAGTTATCGCTTTTCTCTGAGTTTGAGCAATAATTTGAGTCTGTCAGTTCATTATATGAATCATGACACCCAGACTGGTTCTTGATAGTCGAAATTTTTTTGTTCTAGGCCCTTCCGAACTCTCAAAGCAGGATTACATAATAATGAGAGGAAAATATTACCGGTATATATAATAGACTGAAATATTTAAGTCAAACAAGACCCCAGTACGACACTGAACTCTGACATGTTGTTGACTGGATACATGTATATTGTACGCGTGTGTGCTCCCTTTTTCGAACTGGTGAGCTAGTAATTTTCTTTCAGGAAATATTGCTGGACCCCCTTAACATTTTACTTTTACTAGTTCATTGGTAGGTCGTGGGGAATACACATTTCCCCCTGAAAATACACATTTTCATATTTCCCAATACTCATTTCGTTTTTCTGTGGTTGGCGTCTCTGGTCATTGCAGACTGTAAATTTACATTCTCTGCCTTACATCAACATTTTTCAGTAAAAATCCTCTCAGAGATGTATTTTTTAATGGACATAAAAGGTGTTGAGCCAAAAAACAAAACTTCATTATTTAAAAAATTTCCAAATCATGCCCAATGGTAGGAAAAATGGAGATTTCTTCGATTTCATCATTTTGACAAAAGCCAAGTGCCTGTTTTCACCACGATGCCTCGCATGTGATAGCATTAATAAGCTCTTCACTCTGATTCTACGATGATAAATAGTCTGTGATGTTTATTGTTCTTGTGGACATGACCCTCAAAGTTTTTGTCCTCCTTTTCTGTTTGCGATGGTACTCTATGGTATCGAATGTCTCTCCCACTGCTCCTTATTCTATCCCCCGCTTATTATTTTCCAGCTTGCCACGACCACCGATTATCATGTGAAACATTATCTAAAATCTAGATATATCTGAATGAAACTTCTTTTTACCCTCTGTATCAGTCCCAGTATCGGGTTAGCTACCTCAAGTTTTGGGGCATTTTTTAAACTTTTGTACATTGGTCTATATTTTTTTATGAAACTGGTTTGTTCCTAAATGGGGAAAAGTTGTCACAGTAACTTACTAAAATCACAAAAATTTCATGATCTCTTGTTCTTTTATTCACTCAAGGAGAAATAAAACAGATTTGTTCCTGCTAGTACACCCCCCCCCCCCCCCCCCTCGTCCACCGCCCCTTTTTAGTCCCCTACCCGTTTATGTGATACCTTAGGGTAATCAACTGTGGTTTTCCTGTAGTTCACTACTGACTACTCCATAGAACACTTGAAATCAGTATTGGCAAACTTGTTTTATGTACATGTACTCATGTAGTAAGATGACACCCAGATTTACCTGATACAATAGAAGCATTTTTTAAATTGCTTTCACTAATTTTATTCAATAAGTCTCGCTACTATCAATTTGTTTGTGTCAACACTAATTCGCCTGAAATGCCCTTTGATGATTTATTCTAGAACTTTCATTTATTACCATCTAGATATCCATCATTATGTTTGCCTTGAGTCATTGAACGAAATTTAACTCTTCTGGAAGAATTGCTGAGAGTATAATAGTCAGAAAATAAATGGCTACCAACATGAAAAGTATAAAGCATAAGAAAAGGGTAGAAAGATGGATAGTGGTATGCGTGCCTTGTTTGTTGTCAAAGCAAGAGACAGGACAATAATGATAATGATTCTTAACAACAACAGAAAAACCCCTAATTATTGGCAAGCTTTTAAAGCGGTCTCAGCCCAGAAAGCAAAAATGTTTCAGGACAGAGAATAAACTGTTCCATTTTTTAAATAATGTTACCTAATTTATGTTATGTATCTTTTCTTGTCTTTTCAACATTTAGAATATTTTATTTCAATTGAATGTTTTTATAAAATTTTATATATCTATGCTACACATACCACAGATTAAGAAATTACAATTTTTTTAATTATTGGGATTGGTTCATCTGAACAGCTGGATTATCGCCTCTGTTGTAAAAACTCCCCAGCCGGGCGCAGTCCATACCTTCTCATCCAAACAACTGTACTACACGCACACATGTGCACAAACTCCAAAAATTATATATAATTCACACACCATGTGACCCGATGCAGTGCCAACTGCCTGTCTTCGGTCACCATCCAGCACCAACCCTCATATTTCAAGGAAGTGCTAGTGCCTTACTACGCACACCAGTTACTGTGCAATTATGCACCTCAGTACGATCAGCCAGTATGGGTACATGCTGCACAACAGCGATCGTTGTGGGCCATATGTAACCTTATGCATTCTGAATGATGACTGGTGTGTTTTCCATCATGCACACAATGTGATTTGAATTGGCTTTAGAGACAACAGTGTGGCAAAATTTGATTGGGTTTTTCGTGATGAGCTGGCTGCTAAGACAATGAGAGTATTGTGGTTGATTCTGTAAATGGCATCATTTATGAGCTGTCCTTGACTTTAACTTTGAGTGTTGCATGTCCAAGTTATCTGTGTTTTTCTGTGTATAATATATGAATACTAACATTAAGACTTTTAAATGAAAGCCGTAAATTTCAGCATTATACCTCTGTATGAGAGATGTAAAAATTCATGGTGTGGAAGTAAATCTTGACTTTATCATAATGTTTTGTCTAAACAGTATCTAAATTGCCCTTAACTAGTAACAGAAACGCCGTCCCCCAGTGTAGCCCAACTGTCTGACATATATATCTTCAATTTGGATTATGTCGCAAATATAGAGATATTAGAGGAAAAGTCTGGCACGCCGGAGCCCTTGCCATTCATAAATGTGAAGAAGGTAAGAGAATGTTGCTTGTGTGATGCATTGTATTATAATGAATTGCTTGTTCTTTGTTGGTTTGTTTTCCTGCCCATGTAAAAAAAAATTACTTTAAAAATAAAACCTTTTGATTTCTTTCACGAAATGTGAAGTGCATAGTAAAATAACTGAAAAATAAAATGCATGTGCCATGACAAGATGGAATCAGGTGCTTGTCAGTTTTTGGGCATATGGAGTTATTCATGTGATTTTAAAGCCTCTTCATTTCATTTGCCTTGCTTTTGATAAAGGAAATACTCATCTATAATGAATCTAAGTCGAGATATTTGCAATTGAAAAGTTAACTGACTTTTGAAGCTGTTGTGTTCTTGGAAACTGCAATTTACATTGTTTTGTGCCTTGGGTCAATGTTTTAAAGTAAAATCCATGCAGAGATGTGTTTTTAAGTGGACACAAATAGGTGTTGAGTCCAAACAAATAAATATTGCCGAACGGGATGAAAAATGTCCTTTTTTTTAAATTTCATTATTTGGACAAGGACTTGATTATACTATGGTGCCTCATGTATTGTTTACTCATATTTTGTATTGAATCAGCAACAGATAGACTAGTATATGAGTGAATGCATTCCTTCAGTTGTAACTGACTTGAACCAAAACGAGTACATGTTTTTAAAATCTTGTATTCAAATCCATCTGTTAATAAAGATTTATTGGGGGGGGGGGGGGGTTTGTCCTCAGGTTCTCATTACATTTTATTAGTTATTATAGCAAAGGCCTATTGTTTTTTGTCTAACTCTATGAACTCAATTGAAGCAGCAAAGTAGGATTTATAATTTTACAAGAACGGTGCAGCCTTTTCTTCTTTAACTTTATGGGTTTAAGGAATAGATTCAATAAACATTGATCTGTTTCTGATTTATAATTTTTGATAATTTTATATCGTGTATTATCTATCTAGTGTTTATATTTTTCTGAATATTTTGAATAGCAATATGAACAATTACTATATGTTATATATTAAATATATATGTAGAGAGAGAGAGATATAGATATAATATATCCTTTAGAAAACCAATTAAAACTACTGTTGCATAAAATGCTTATAATTTTCCTTTTTTATTTTAATCAGTTTTTTACATATATAATTTCTTTGGTATATTGTTCAGTAGGTAGATGTAAAGATATGATTTGTCTTCCATGTGTGAAAATTTCTGCTAATGAATATTTCACAGATTTCACAAAGACTTGCTGAACAAGAGAGGGACAGGCTGCGGCAGAAAACCTACATTGGAGTTGGTGTCACGCCGGAGGGCCAAAGGCTTATGAACACAATCTCCAAAACGTTAGTCGAACTGCTATTGTATATTCTGGTTTAATTTATTGCATCAGGAAATTTTTTTCACTGACTCACCCATTACACTGGAATTAATTTTCTAAGGAGCGCCTATTACAATAGGTTACCTTTTATTCAAATGGACTCTTTAGTTTACGACGGTTTTACGGCACTCTCAACTGCATACGGTCGTATGAGCACCAAGGGATGGATTTCAACAGAGAAGTTCAAACGGGGAATCTGGTTTACTCTGCTCACCTCTTTAGCTTCAACAGCACATAGTCTGCTTCGACTATCAAGGGACCCCAGAAATAGCACCTTCACAAGAGAGTGACAAACATACAAAAAAAGTATAGGAAAATGAGGATAGTAAGGATGAAGAAAGAAAAAGCAGCAGTTCCCCCTATGTTGTTCAATCAGTGGGAAAAACAACCGGATGCGTGTGCCCAACCAAATGGGCTTACAATAATCGTGCAGGGATTTAGAGGTCACTTACATTTGCCGATGGAGTGCAGAAAAGTGTCCGATCTTTGTGCGAAGCTGCTTTGGACACCAGAGTAGTGGTATATTTGTGATAAGTTCTGGAAAACTACTTGACATACAACTTTCAAATATAAAGACACTATAGAGGAAAGATAGATCTCTTACCTTTTTGATGTTGAAACTCAAGCTCCTTGTAGTTACGGAATGAAAGTGTTTCCAGCGCCAAAAATATAGGTTAATTATAATGTGTACAAAACTCAATGTCCATACATCATTAGTTTGCCCTATTTTCTGATTGGTTGCCATGTTTCATTCTTACTGGTCTTGAAATAGAACTGACTGAGTTTAAGAAAATTAGTCATCTATGTCCAATCCTGTCAAAAAAATATGTTGCTGATAAATTTGTTGCGTTCGCAAGACCGATTTGTATTGCTAATTTGACTAGTTTGACAGGTTTCATTCAGGATACTGTCACCACTACCTATCAAATGTATGGCAAAAATATTCGAATAGCATTAAAAGTGACCTGGCGCTTTGAAGTGGTACAGGTTTTTTTTCTTCAAATTCGCAAAGCAGTAACACAGTAACATAATGATGTTTACATGCTTCTTCTTTGTTTCACCAGGATTGGGCCATAGTTTTTAATTTGTAGTTGTATGGCACTTTATTGGTATGATTGGGGTATTTATTTTATTTTTGTTATCATTTTAGTGAAAGTTCAATGGAAAAAAAAAAAGATTTTTCCTTAAGCTGACCTGAGCTAAAAAGTACAATAGAGTGAGATGTAAAATCTTCTTTTTTAATTTTTGGTTCAATATCTTTTTTTAGTTGTTTTTTTTTAATTGATATATTTTTGAAGTGTTCCTATATTACTGTTCATGGACATCTTGCACCAAGATTGCTTTAGTGGTGGGTGTTATCACATTCTTAAGCTGAATACACTTGCCTGTATTGATAACATTTGTTTAAAAAACTGGAGGAAAAAACCCATCCTATTATGGGTGGTTGGAGAGTGCCTTTTGTGGCTCCTACTTCTTTTCTGGATGGTTGGTGGGTGCTCTGATGTGTTTGCTCCTTCTTTCCTCCAAAAATCTAAACATCTATAGTCTCTCCTCCTTTTTTTTGTGCTTTCCATCTAGTAACACCTCTACACCTCTAATCTTCAGCACTTATGTGATCTAATTATGTTGCAAGTGGCATAAAATTCTTCCCGCACTAAATCTCTTTTCTTAAACTAAACTAAAAATATAGCTGTTCCTTTCACCTGTTCTTGTTTTTTTTTTTGTTAACTACATTTTACGTTAGTTGTTTGAGGACACCTACTTCTTTACTATCCCACTTTTTATTTTGTCGGTCTCTTATGCCTTTTCTCTTGCTTTAAATGACCAGTTTTGTCAATGTATTTCTCTTTATTCTAACAAAAAAAGCTAACACATTTCTTTGATTTCAGTATCAGTGACTGCAGATGGCATGACATGGATATAGTCGTGTTAGGAGAGGTCACTATCAAACCTCCCTATGGACCAAAAAATCTTGAATGCGTGGAGGGAAGCAAGGCTCTACAACATATTTCAAAGATAGTATGTTTTGCTTGTTGCCTTTTTATAATTTGATTAGAATATTTTATATTGTTCTGTGATGCACTAAAATGGGAACTACTCTTTCCTTGAAATAACTGAATTTCATTCTTTGCTGTGGATCACCTTGTTTTTTAAAGTTCTTTTCCTTCTTTGCTCTAGAGATAGGTTTTCTCTAAAATTGAAAAAAAAAGCTGATGTATTAAAACGAAGTGAAGAATAAGGGGGTAAAGAAAAAAGGAAATTAGAATTACGCAATGGCCATGTCCCGGCATCACTAGATTGTTGCCACTGATAGGCAATGTAAGAATACCAAAGCAGATTTGTACATCTTTTCCCGCCAAATACTGAAAAAGAATCTAACTGAAAGCAAATTTTCTTAGAGCAAGTGCCCTTTTCTAAAATATGATAAATGACAGGTTTTCAGTTCACCTTGGAAAAAAAAAAGAAAGAAAAACGTTTTCGCTTCAATGTTGTTCATAGATGTCGTGGACTTGTTGTGTTCGTAAGGAACTTGGAACTTATTTACAACAGAAGACGTGGTTTTTAGTTAGTTGTACGATTCAGTTTTCATTAAAAAATGTATCACATTATGGGAAACATTTTAGCCAAAAGATTTCAGGCCTTGTCTACTGAATGGCGAAGTGAGTCGAACGAAGTCTCAACATATCACATTGACCTAGATCCCAAGGATGACATAGATCTAGGAGGTTTATGCATTCATTTAACTGAAGTTAACAGGCGTTCTTTAAGTCATCTGTGATAATCCAGTTTTGGACACCGTCCAAGGATTGCTATAAACTGTAATCCTAACCCTACACCCTTACTGTTTGATGTTTGAGACAATGAAATACTGATTTGCAATGATCTCACACCCACCGTCTTGAAAAAAAAATAGGTTCCATATTCTATGTTATAGTGATTGTACTTTGTAATGTGTAGATGTTTGGTGCAGTTGGTACCTTTTCATTATCTGTCAAACATGGGCTTGCAGCCAGTTAGGGGACTTCGCAATATTTGATCATATTAAAATAGCTGCCATTTTATTTAAAATTAACTCAGAGGTAAAAGAATAGTACCAAAATTCTCAGGAGAAATAGGCCTTTCATATAAAACATATTAATTTGGCATTCAGTTTCAGCTACAGTCGAACCTGCCCTGACGGCCACCTGTACAAACGGCCATTTTCCATTTCCTCCCTTGCGTTTTGTCTATATAATTTAACTGTGTAAAACGGGCACCTGTCCAACGCGGCCGCGGCCACCATATTTCAACAAACAACCCCTATCACACCAAGAAATAGCACCTGTCTTAGACGGCCACCTTAGTGACTCCATTACGTTTTGTCACAAATCATGCTTTGGCCCCTGGCGTTGTGGTCGAGCCATCATAATCAAATCACTTGTTGTTGTTGTTAGGTAGTCCCTCCAACCAATCATGTTGCGTAGGCCCCTCCCACTGTTGACCAATAGGTAACAAATTTTCAGCTGCTGGTGAGGTAAGCGTGTGATCCCTCATAACCCATAACTATAACCCCTGCCCAGAACTCATTCACAAATCGTAAGTGAGATGAGTGGTCACTGTTTACCCAGTCTGTAACAAAGTAACAATGTGCGTCAACATGAACTTGTGACAGAAGCGTCGCTCGTTCTCCGAGTGGTGGCGACCCATGTGTTTGTTTTAGTGTAGCACTCGGTCCTCCTTGTCTGACACCTTTCATTTTATTGTCACCCTTGCACAAAAGCAGCAACTAAAGAAAAAAAAACCCAGCGAAAACAACAACAATAACAACAAGAACAATACGCTACTTTTATGTTGGGATCTTAGAAAGGAATGGTTTGTTTTCTTCTTCTTGATCAGTCCTACCTAAGACGGCCACCTGTCTTGTAGGGCCACTTTTCTCCTTGACAATGGGTGGTCATCTTACACAGGTTCGACTGTACTTTTAAAATATAGTTTGTGGTATCTACATTTTGTCTGGGAACTTTTTCATTTTTTGTTGAATTGATTTGGGGGGGTGGGGGGGGGAGGGGTTTCCATGTAGAGTCTCTGAACCATACATCAGTACCACCAAAACATTGCTATTAGATATTTTTTATTTCCTCTTCAATGAAATGAACTTTGAATTCCAGAGATGGTTTTTAATTTCACAAAAGACATCCAATCATTGTTAAGTCTTTCGTAGATATTGTCAATGAGGTCTGCTGTTTTGGAGTGAGATAATACCCAAATATGCTTTTTTATGTTGACATTTTTAAAAAAGAACCTTTCCGACTACTAGCATACAAAATATACAATTTTAACCAACATAATTATTCAAGATATGAACAACAAAAATGTCTTTAAAATATTACATACGACGTTACTTTGACCCCTAATTATGTGAAAGTTTTTGTCTTTTCATTTAGCTGTATTCATCTCTAAAATTCTAAACACAGTATTTTCATGTCAATCAAAAGGCTGGCCGCCGGAAATGTTTGTGATTCACCTTTCCAGGCCTTGCTCATTAGCGCAGTATAGAACTAAGGAAAAAAATCCATCTGTATTGAAGTTTGAAATAAGTAAATATCCCCTACCTACCGACCCACAGTCTTTTCGTTTAGGATTAGGACAGACAGAGAGAGAATTGATGTTACCTCCTGAATGTCTTGGCTAAAAAAAAGGCTTTGCTATAATTATTTGAGGAAGTTGAATGAGTTACTACTCGCTAAGCTCTTTGTATATTGTGGGTTTTTTGCTTTGGGACTTTCAAACTTTGCCAAAGAGCTGTTGCTTGATAGTATATCATGATTACATTTTGAATTTCCACAGGTGGAGAAACATTATGATTTCGAGGCAAAACAAGGGAGAGCCCCACCTGTCCAGCACTGAGATCATTCTAATAGTCAAGGGGAGCAAAATGAGAGTCAGTTGTCTTGATGCTGTTCGCCTGTGTTTTGCTAGTTACGGATGATGTTTGAAGCACAGTACAGAAATCTTTTCTCCCACATTTTTCCTGTAGTGGTTAATGTGATGCGTGAGTGTTCTCTCTTCTATCAATTTTGTTAAATTGTTTTATCCTGTGTAGTGAAAAATAAAATGAATGATTTTAGACATTTCAGTTTTCTCTTTCAGTATTTCTTTTAGTCAGATGTTTTAAAAGCTTAAATACAATGCCTTTTCTTCTTGTAAGACAATAAAAATAATAATTGTATTTGTCTCATGGTTTCAACAGTTTCGAATAAAGTTTTATTAACAGTCGTTTTTTGTTTTTTTATTCTCATTTTTTTATTTTAACCTGAGTCTAAAATGTATTCTAGTTAAAAGTATAAGAACAAAGGTAAATGTATTTTTTCCTTATAACGTGAGTTCTGGGATATGGAAGGTTGTGAGAGTTGTGCTTCTCATGCCGTTGTTATTAGGTACTTCAGAGTATGAAATGCTCAAAATTTGTGTGGGAATGTGTGTCAATGAGAGTTCTTGTGAAATGAGAATGACATCATTTGTTATAGGAGAGAATGACTACCATACATTGTGGCAAACATGTTGTTGTTCTTATGGTCGTTGTTGCTGCTATGAATTGTTTTTGTCATGTCCAGTATCTAGACCCCCTGAGTCTGAATCTCTTTCTTTTTTTTTGCAAGGCTCATTAAGTGTTGAAAAGGACATCCTGTTGGAATTTGCAGGGCAAACTTCATAGATTTGTGTTCATCACTTTTTTCCTCCACCTTTCAGGGTAGATCTTGATTTCAGTGTATAGTATAATTAATCAGTTTTTAAATGAGCATGTTTGATAGTAAAACAAAGTGTTTAAAAAGTAGGCCTACCTACAGTTCATGTTGACTTGAACAGGAAAAGCAACTGTTCCTTGTATTTTTACAAAAGTATTGTCTATTTGAAATATTCAGAGAAACTGATGATTATTGTCACATTGTGCTATGGTGTGCCTGGTGCAGAAGAATATATGAGAGAAGTATGACTGTGAATGAAATGAATAAAGAAAAGGAAATTTGGATTACTCAGTGTTTTGTTTCATGTTTTGTTTTAGGCCTGATAATTGTTGGAAGCCAAATTTTGGGCTTGCTTATTTTCTCTCTATCTATTAATTTCTTCTGTAGGATGAAGAAGTTTCTTTTCTCACGTTTCTCTTTATCACATGTAGTACAAATGTAGAATCATGAGTGGTTGGAGGGTTCTCTGGCGTGGTTTGCCCCTTCTTTCCTATCAAACAACTATCATCTTTATCTCTCCTCCTTTTTTATGTTTGGTTACTCTCTTGTAACACCTCTAATCTTCGGCTCTTATATTACTAGTGTTTCAAGTGCCGTAAAACTTTAACTAAAACTAAACTAAATGACTAAATGTAGAATCTACTTGTAAGTGTTTATATGACATTTTGCATCTACGATACAACTTCACCCAGGCTGAAAGAGATGGGGCCCCTCTATGATCTTAATTGTGTCAATGGGGGCGTAAAACACTGATACCGGTATTATTAAATAATGAGGTGGGAAGGCACAAATACCATCATGTTTATATTTAAGCATTCCTTTTCCTACATTGGCAAAACCTGGCTATTAGATTAAAAGCAAGAAAGCGAGAACCTAGGGTGTCCGATCTGGTCTATCCATTTTTTTTAATGAACCAGTATCTAAAAATGTTTTATATTTCTTGGATTGAGCACTTTATCAGCTTCTATTACTAATTACTTCTAAATCATTTCATGTAATCTACCATCCTATTGATGCACCCCAAGAAGCTGATGCCAATGTATTTGACGGATGACTGGCAAATTCTCTGAAGTCGGCTGTGGACTCGAAAATTACAGGTTATTCATGACATAACGTAATAACAGTGGTTTACTAATAGGTGAGGCAGCGTGGTGGAATCATGCGCTCGTCAAAATAATCAAAGTGAAGAAACTTGCATTTTTCCGCAGGTTTGTGAATTTTTATCAAATATTTGTTTTTGGCTCAATACCTTTCATGCCCATTAAAGAACTCATTTATGTGTGGATTTTTCTGAAAAACGTTGATTAAAGGCACAAAAAATATAAATTTTTAGTTACCACGGAGTCTTAAGCTAAGAAAATAACAAATCTTTGGCGACCATTTTCTCACTAATTTTTCCTCTGAAAACGGGTGACCCCCACCTTCTTCATTCACAAAAATCTTGACTTGTATTCAAGATAAATGGATATTTTTTTCAAACAAATATAAAGAAAAGTGAACAAGCTTTACTTTAAGATGATACCAATAACTCTACATACCCAAAAATTGACGAGATCCTGATTCCACCACGCTGCCTCACATATTTCTTTCTTACGAAACAGTGTCACTACAACCGAATGCTCGCAGACTTTTCCCTTGGTGATAACAATAACATGAAGAGACAGATTGCGAACCAAACAAAGGCAAATGGACAAGTGTTTGGAACAACAACTTTATTCCACGAAGAGGGAAGGAAAAGGGAAAGAATCTAATCTTGCTTACAATTATCCCAAAGGAAAATAAATCCGATTTCACAGTTACATCCCTTTACAGGCAAATATTGAGTTCGAAATCGCTGTTTATGAGGCATAATAATATTATAGTTACATGTATTGGTATCATCTCAATGCTTGTTCGTTTGTCTTACTTTTGACGGAAAAAAAATACCCATTTCTGGGGGTTGCCTGGTGTCACTGTTAGAAGAAAAATTGGCAAGAAAATTGCCACAAGAGTTTGGTGACTTCCAAAGCTATAGTGTCCTTTGAAACTATTTTTTTTTAAATATTTTCTGCTTCTTTTTAAAAAAAAAAAAATCCACTCCAAATGTGATTTTGAATGAACGTTAAAAAAGGATTAAAAAGAAATCGATAAAAATTGCCCAACAGGGTGAAAAACAAAAAATATTCAAATCAATTTTATTATTGTTGACGAGCACCTCATTTCACAATTATGGTCATGGTACGCATACTCCACCTTCTTCTCCCTCTCTGTCTCTCTCTGTCTCTCTCTCTCTCTCTCTCTCTCTCTCTCTCTCTCTCTCTCTCTCTCTCTCCCTCTCTCTCTCTCTCCAACAATTCATTGGGGTTAGATGTTACCAATATATACCTGTCCCCGTAGAATTATGCAAATTTAGATGGCCGAATTAAGCAAAAAAATGCCAAATTATGCAAGTTACCGTAACACCATTCGCGACATGTTTTACACTTTTTCAACTCGAATTTTTGTGATTTTCATGTTTTATGTACAAAAAATGTAAAACAGAACATATCAGTATCAGTAATTTGTTGTGTATTTGGAAAGAAAGTAATACACATCATTAAAAAAACAAAACAACAAAATATAATCTCTGTAACTTTCAGCTCTAGCTCTGGATCTAGATCTAGAGGGGAAAGAAAAATGTTTTTTTTTAAAAAAGGACATCTGGACCTCTGATGCTAGCACAATACTAAAACCAGGAACACCTGTCAAACATGAAACACCAGCAGACATGAGAACAACAACTTTTGATGGATTGAAAAATTGAACATGCTCAAGGAACAAAATCCCAATCCATAACGAAGATCTTCTAGCAAGGGAAATAACCAACTTTTCACTTAAATGAGACTTATTACGGTGATTATTTCCCTTTAGTCACATGGCGAGGCGTTATTTAATTGTTTTGTGAAAAAAAAAACGAGGGGAATAAAAATATTATGCAAACGTTACAGAATTACGCGAAAAAAACGCGGCCGCACAATCGCATAATCCTACGGGGGCAGATATACTATACGTTCTTATACTCTGAGCGTCTAGATGTTACTCCATCCATGAAAGCCTTCAGCGGTGTAGATGGTCAGGGTGGTCTGGGCGTTGAATCTGCTCAGTGCTTGTGACTGTGAAAGTGCTCGAGTGGTACTCCAGCCTAGAAACTTTCCTGGGTAGCCAGAGGCCGGCCATGCGGAGGTGTGAAATTGATTAGTTTGACCAATGCCTGCCGCTCTGAGTCTGATCGTACGGCTAGCCGAGAAAAAAAGTTGGCCCAATCGTTATTACTTGCACGGGAGGTGTCGGGAGGGGAGGCAGTGGTTGGCTTATTACACTAATGGGTGAGGCTGAGGGGGAGTGAAAGCAAAGTTGGTTTTTAATAAGCCAAACAGTGGTCTTATGAAAAGAGGGCCATGGTGGCAATGGATAAGATAGGTAGGATTAAGGATTGACGCATGCCATTGACAGAGAGGCTAGGATAACACTTGAGAGTGAGAGGTGTGAAGCTTTGACCACTGCTTGCCGACCGGACAAGCAAACGACCCTAGATCCCACTGGCTTGGCCTCTGGAGCTCCCCTCCACCTCCCCCTAAGTTCCCCTGTTAGTTAAAGTCGGAATTTTTGTCTGGCTCCCTTGCGATTCTGTTTTACACAGATTCGACTCCTGGGGCATATTATCTCACAGATATATATATATATATATATATATATATATATATATATATACCAGCCTGTGAGATGATATGCCTCCGGAAATTAATTATCATTGCTAAGAAAGACTGCATAAGAAACGAAACTGTCCGAAATTAAAATTTAACAGTGATTCAACCCATTATTGAAGTATATAGAGCATCAAAGAATGAAGTGATTCGGTCATCTGATAAAAACGTCACCAAATCAACCGGTTGTGGGAGCTTACAACTCAAAAGAGTCGGGATACAAGGGCAGGGGCGGACCAGGCAAAACTTGGCTAGGTGGCTTTAAAGACGCCCCACAAAAGAATATCATATCAACAACAGAAACCACCCACCTTGAGTTGACTGAAACGTGCATCTCCCCTCGACATCTAACGATAGAAGAGGAAGAATGATATGTAAAGTAAAAATGTCCAATCCTAGCATACTATTACAATGTACTCTGAGGACATGACACTCACTGTTATTGCTACGTGGCTAAAATGGGTAGTGATGAAAGACAATAGAACTCCTGGATGGCGAACAGAAGAAATCAGTCATTCTTAGAAGAGAACAGAACTGAGACGTTGATAAAATTGTGGACGTCCTTCCAGAAAACGTTTTGAGTTTTGACAGTACAAGTTACACTCTACTAACGTTGACCATCAGTTTAACGTTGAAAAGACACGAAGCAACCTTCAACTTCAATCCAATGAAGCAAGAGTACAAGCTGACGTCGCTCAAAATTGCGTTTGTAAAACTGTCCGAACACTGGTAGCTTTTACTTTTACTTTATCTGACCTCTTATTATACCGCGAGGTGTCTAGGGGAGATCATGCAGTTCTCGGACGTGGGCCAGGAGTGTTGCTTTTTAGATCGTCAAATTGTGCTTTTGAAGGGTGTCTTTGACTACATCGATTTATCAGTTTATTGGTCTTCCTTTTGCCTTGAAGCCATCGAATCGCACGTTGTAGAACCTTTGAGGCCAGATCTGTCTTGGCCCCAATCTTTTAACGTGTCTAAACCATCTTATTTAATCTTGTCGCGCTCGATTCGATGCCCTCTTGCTGTTTGGTGTCTTTGTTTCTTGTTTTTATTTGTTTTTATAAGTGTTTTACGGCTCTCGCAACAGCAAAAGGTCAGATGAGCGCACGGGACACATTAAACATTTTTAGTTTGGTAGGAATGAATTTTGAATTTTGCCTGGGTTTCCGGCGAAGCATACTCTTGTTGGACCACCAAGGGACCTTTAACGTGCACAACTTGCACACGAGACCTGCGAGATTTTTGCAACCTTGTCGAAAAGGCTAGGTGTTAGATCTTACCTACCCTAAGTTCAGGGGTGTGTCTGAAAGATAGCAGTAAGAAGGAGCCAAGAAGTAAGAGGGCAACGGGTGGGGGTGGGGGCAGAAAACGGAGAGGAAGGCAGACAACAGAACATAGTTAGAGAGCAGGAAAGGAGGTGAAAAGAGAACATTTAGAGAAGAAAATGTTTTGTCGCTGTCAGGTTTCGAACCCGAGACCTATTGAATGAAAGGCGAACACCGTAACCTCTAGACCACGAGAGCTCTCCGTTTCTTAACACTGGTAACTGCATCCAGAAAATA